GAGTGGACACCAGGTGAAGGGGGGGAGACAGAGCGGACACCAGGTGAAGGTGAGGAAGAGAGAGCGGGCACCAGGCAAAGGGGGGAAGGCGGAGTGGACACGGACACCAGGTGAAGAGGGGGAGACAGAGTGGACACCAGGTGAAGGCAGGGGAGGCGGGCCACTGGGTGAAGTTGGGGGAGGCAGGGCCAGGCACCAGATGAAAGTAGGGAAGGCAGAGCCGGGCACCAGGTAAAGGTGAGGAAGACAGAGCGGGCATCACATGAAGGTGGAGAGGCAGGGCCTGGCTTCAGGTAGAGAGATGGGGGAGGCAGAGGTGGGCACCAGGTGAAGGTGGGGGAGGAGAGGCCAGGCACCAGGTGGCAGTGGTGCGTCACCTTCTAAAAGCTCCCTATTGAACTGGAGACTGCGTCCATGCTGCTAGAGAACCTGAACTGTGTCCTGCCTGGAATGTGTTGGAATCCTGACCCTTATCGATACCTGTGGAAAAGTCCATTTCGGGAATAAGATGTTCTCTTTTCTCTTAGGCCCTATTTATAGTGGCTGTGTCTTAAAACTAGTGAATTATTTCTGCTTTATTGTTGAGAACATGCACACCAGCTCACACGTTTGTACACGTGCACTTAGTGGCACGACCTAATGCTCTTTGAGTTTCAGGGTTTGTTGTTGTCCCTCCCTCATTTACGTTACCTAAGTTCATGCTGTCTAACCTTTTGAGTTCTGGGGTCTGTGTGATCCCACCTAACTAGCTCATAAAATACCACCATGCTCAAGGCAGACATTCTTTACTAGCTAAGCTAAATTATCATGTGGTTTTTCAGACTTCAGTGGAAATTTTGGATGAGGGAGGGATTCAAGATTTTTTTATCTAGCCCTGGAGTTCCAGAAAGTTTAAAGTCCATGAGTATTTAAAATTCTGTTGTACAATTACCCCCTTTTGATCAGGATTCTTCTATAGGAGCTTAGCTGGGCACCATCCAGTTCCTCTGGTCTCACGGCAGAGGAAGCAGTTGTTCGTGGAGAGAGTCAGCCAGACGTTCCCTCTCCCATTTCTGGTTTCCTTCCCCTGTTGTTCCTGATGAACAAGGCTGTTTTGCCTTAAGTGCTTTTACAGTTTCAGGCAACCAAGCAAAAGGCAGATGAGAAGCACTGCCTAGATTATTAGGGCATCGCATTAAAACATGACCTTGAACTTCACAACCTTACATCATAAATATCACACACAAGCAATATATTGCTGAAGATCATCCAAAAATGGCTGAAACGGGACATTGAGAGAGAACTTCCAGAAGTTCAATCTGGGTTTAGAAGAGGCCATAGCACTGGGGATACCATTGTGGATGTAACCTAGCGGAAAGCAGAGAATACCAGAAGAATGTCTATTTGGATTTTATTGACTGTAAAGGAGTTTGACTCTGTGGGTCATAACAAACTATAGCTAACATTGAAAGATCTAGAATCCCAGAACACTTTATTATGCTCGTGTGAAACCTAAATCTAGACCAAGAATGTTGTCTGAATAGAAGAAGAGAACACTGCCTGGTTTAAAATCAAGAAAAGGGTGTGTCAAAGTTGTTTCCTTTCTCCATATCTATTCAAACTGTGTGCTGAGCAAATCCTTTCAGAAGCTGGACTCTAAGAAGAAGAATGTGACATTAGGATCAGAGGAAGACCCATTCACAACCTGGACATGCTGATAACACAACCTTGCTTGCTGAGATTGAGGAGGACTTGAAACACTGCAGAGCTTCAATATCAATTACATCTCAACATCAAGAAGATAAAAATCGTCATCACTGGACTGATGAACAGCGTCTTGATAGGTGGAGAAAAGGTTGAAATTATCAATCATTTCATTTTATTGGGATCCACGATCAATACCTTTGGTACCAGCAGTCAGGAGAGTTTCAGAAAGTTGCACTGAGCAAGTCTGTCCAGACGTCTCCAAATTACTAAGGAGCAATGATGACTGAGTTTGAAGATTAAGGTACACCTTAGTGATTCAGGCCATGGTCTTTTCAATCACTTGCTATGAATTTGAGAGCTGGACAATTAATAAGGATGGAAGAAGAACTGATGCCGCTGAACTGTGGTCTTGGAATACTTGGAGTCTGAATATGCCGCGGACTTCCAAAAGAACAAACAGCTATGTCTTGGAGAAGTTGCAGCCAGAATGCTCCTTGGAGGCAAAGATGGTGAAACTTCGCCTCACATACTTTGGGCATGTTGCTAGAAGAGGCTAATCTTTAAATAGGGCAGAGAGTGACAGCAGAAGACATGAAGACCCTTAACGGTCACTGCAGAAATGGATTCAAGTGTCAGAGATGATGAGAATGGCACAGGGTGGGACAGGGTTCAGATCTGTTGTTTGTAGGGTCGCTGAGTCATACTCCGCTTGAAGGCACCTAACAACAACGATAGAGATGTCAGGGTGACAGAGACCTTCCCCTCGGGCCAGCAGAGAGAGCCTTCCCTGAGAGCCAGTGCCCTGAGTTTGGACAAGTAGCCTAAGCTCTGAGGAGAATCCTGTCTGTGCATGGAAGCCCCGCCTTGGGTGTTTCTGCCGCGCCCCCCACAAGTCCTCTAATCTGAACACTTGGTGCTGGAGGCCTTACCACACCTCGGGCCCTCCACCCTGCAGTCCTGCCCTGCCCGGCTTGGGGCCTCCTGAGATGCTTGCTGTCACGGCGTATTGATTTCCAAGTCTTCCTCCTGTCTTTAAATAGCCTCCCTGATGTACTTCCAGGTTCATCTTCCTTGCTGCCCACTGCAGGCATCTCTGAGGGGGCCCAGTGAGTGGCCTCTGCTTTCTGGCCTAAGGGGCCAGCAGACCTGGGAGGCAGATGTGGCACGCTGACCAAGCTGAACCCCGCAGGCTGGCTCTCAGTGTCCAGGGGCTGCAGTGAGTCCCACAGGGGGGCTTCAGAGGGTGGGAGTGCACAGTCTCATGGTTTGGGGTCCTGATTCAGTGTGGCAGTCAGAAAGACCAGGCTCTGTCCACCAGGAGAAGCCCCCACCAGTCTCCTGGCTTCTCTCTCAGCAGCCCTGGGCCTCTCTCAGTGCCCCCCTTTCTGTGACAGGAGTACCTGGTTTATTATGCTGTGCAGACCCTGTGTTTTTCACCAAAAGGAGGAGGAGGAGGAGGGAGAAAGTCTACCAGGGGCCTTTTCTCAGCAGCATGTGCTCGGTCCATGTCTCTGTGTGTGTCACTGTCACAATATTTCAAACTTCGTCATCACACCCTGCACACTCGCCACACTGCAGACTCCTGTGAGCGTGGCTTTTCCACACCCTGGGGAATGAGAACAGGGGTGTCCTGCTTTCTGGCCACCCTTGCCGCCTTGCAGTGGCCTGCAGTAGTCACAGGCGGAGGTGGCTGGTGACAGGCTTTCTCTCGCTTTCATGATCCCTTTCATTTCTAAACCATCACATTCACAAGGTTAGGACTTCCACATGTCTTTTTTTGGAACCTCATTCATTCATAACAGGCCCACCAGCCCAAACCACAGACAGCATGGGACAGAGACAGGGCCCCACATGGAGGGGGTGGGGGTGAGGGAGGAGCTGGCCAAGTCAGACTCGGAGCTTAGAGGAGCCCAAGGACTGACCCTGCCCACCTTGGAGGAGCCCAAGGACTGACCCTGCCCACCTTGGAGGAGCCCAAGGACTGACCCTGCCCACCTTGGGGGAGCCTGAGGACTGTTTCTGGTCTGCAAGGGACCCACTCAGAGGAACAGAGAGCCCAGGCTGCAGGCCGCATCTCCCATCAGCTCCTGGGTGCTGTCCTGGGTGCCTCAGGAAAACTCACCCTCAATATTTGGTGTCCTCAGTGGATTTTGGCCTGTAGTGACCCCAGGTGGAAAACAGAACCACCCCGTGGGGTCCCCCCACTGCCATAGGAGCAGGTCCCCACGTCTCCAGGAGAGTTTCTGGCTGGATTAAAACCATTGACCTTTCATTAGTAGCCAAGCACTTAACCATTGCACCACCAGGGTCTGCTGCCAATCTGCTTCCTTTGGGGCAGACCTGGGCCTCACTCCTGCCTCGCCCCCAGAAAGTCCTTTCTCGTCCACACCCTAGAGCCCCTTGTCATTGTGACTCAGGTTTTTATGTTCTGATCAGTCCTTATACTTGTAGTCCTGAGTACACAGTAGGCGCCCAGTAAATGCACACCTTCAGCCCAAATGAGCCATCGCGGAGGTGGGGGGCATGTGCAACCCGTGTGACTGAGGCCCTGAGCCCCGTCCACGCCGAGGACAGCCCCTTGTCGGCCACTGCCTGGACCCGTGCATCCTGACCCCTCCCGCAGGTGGACGACTTGAAGGCCACGCTGGCCATACAGGAGGCTGAGCTCAAACAGAAAAACGAGAACGCGGACAAGCTGATCCAGGTGGTGGGCGTGGAGACCGAGAAGGTCAGCAAGGAGAAAGCCATCGCTGACGAGGAAGAGGTCAAAGTCGAGGTCATCAACAAGGTACGCGCAGCCTGCACCCAGGGGACCCCCACCATCCCCCAGGAGTCTTCTGCTGAGGGCCTGAGGTGCAGGACCAGCTGAGAGTGAGGTGTCTGCACCCCACACGCTGCACTCAGCTCAGAGACTCCCTTTGAGGAACCCTGAGCCCTGGGCCAGCTGGGTAAGGGGTGACCTGTGTGTTCTCAGCCCCCTGGGACCCACAGAGCACCCTGCCTATCATTCACTGCTGCTCTTTTCATTGGTGTTAAGATTTAGGAGACCCACCCACACACCACAGAGCACAGCTTCTCCTCTGGGGTCCTGGGTGACAGCTTTCCTAAGGGGCCCTGGTGCTGCGTGGGTTAAGCACACTCGGCTGCTATCTGGAAGGTCAGCCGTTTGACCTTGCCACCTGCTCAGTGGGAGAAAAGCCTGGCATCTGCCTCCAGAAAGATATCAGGCTTGTGGCCCCAAGGGGCAGTTCTGGCCATCATGTGGAGATGCTCTGGGTGGGGATCGACCATTTGGCACCAACAATGTATAAGAACCACTCAGAAGGTTCATTTGTTCTGTCACATCACTGGGTGGGTTCAAACCACCAACCTTATGGTTACTAGCTGAGGATAGATGGTCCACGGGACTTCATGAGTGCCATTAAGTTGTGTCCTCAGTGGTCCTGAGCACACTGGAGTCCTCAAGACAAAGCTCCCCGGGACCTCTCACCTCTAGAGGTCTGGGCTAGCCAGGCGTGCGCGCGCGCACGTGTGTGTGTGCGTGTGCGTGTGTGTGTGTGTGTGAAAAACTCCTGGCTGGTGTGTGCAGCCGAGGTTGAGACCCAGGGCTCCGAGGGGAGTGTGGGGTCTGTGTCTCTATCATGTCGATATCTTTTTGTAACACCTTACACACCTTCTCTGTCATTGATTAGAATGAATAAGTATGAATGAATGAATTCACGTGTGAATGAATGAATTCACGTGTGAATGAATGAATTCATGTGTGAATGAATGAATGAATGTGTTCGAGCATGAATGAGCAAGTGAATGAGTCATCTGGTCACGCGTCTGTGTGAACGAAGGAATGTGTGCCTGCCTATGACGATGAATGAAACCATGAACCCTGGGTGCATGAATGAACAGAAGCACCTTGTGACTGAATGAATGAGTGTGTGCCTGTG